CTCTGTCTCTGTCTGTCTGGCGAGCGCACGCGCCCTATAGCGAAAAACCTCTCAAAAAAAAAAAAAAACTTTAAAAAATATATAGCAATAAAAATGGTTACTTACTCAGATAGATGTTTGGAATAAGCTCTCTCTTTATGCAAGTGTTAGGGATAATGAATCTTCTTTACTTAATTGAAGGTTTTGTGTTTTAAACGGAGGCTCCAAAATATTTTCCAAGAATGAAAGATGAATCAATTGAAGAATGTGTAAAATATTTGTTGTTTCCAAACATCTTCAATAGCTTAGAAAGAAAAACAATTCGACTATCAAGATTGGTAAATAATAAACACACATTCAACCAATATTATAAAATTCTTCATTTCTAAATAATATAAAACTACTTTTTAAAAATAATTTTATTTAACTTTATTTACTTATTTATTTTAATTTGACCAGAGAAGGACAGAGCGAGAGAGAAAGAGAGAGAAAGGGAAAGTGAGAAAGCAAGCCGCCAAGTCCGGAATTTGAACCATGGTTGGTAACGTGAGAGTCCAGTGCCCTTAATCACCATGCCACCTGACGGCCCCAATACAAAACTACTTTAATAGTAACTTAATGGATTAATTTTACATTAGGGTAATATAAATTTGCTATGTCATACTTTTTTTTTTCAAGATAAACCATTAGATAGACATCAGGATTCTGAGCCATGTTAATAGTTTCTAGTTAATATTGATTATAAAGTGATATTACCTAGCTTATGAAGATAACATTAGGTTAATTCCAAATACAAAAAGCTACTGGTCATTGGGGATCAGTAGATGGTAAAATGGTTATCTCGCTTTACTTCCATGTAGTTGACTGTGGTTCCAGTCCTGGACCCGGTGACTTACAACTCATGCCAGAAGTGTGCATGTGTGCCAAGAGTCCTGAGAGGAGAATGGAGGAGAAGGGATTGTGGTGTGGCCATCCTCTCAAAGGGGGTGATTTCGTGCTTTCTGTTTCTTTGTCTCTCCCATAAGTGCATGTGCCCTATAATAAAAATCTCTCTTAAAAAAAAAAATCTCTCTTAAAAAAAAAAGCTACTGATCATGATTATAAATGATTTTACAAATCTGAAGGAATATGAGATTATTAATTACCTTTCTGTTCAAAGCAACACAGATAATTACATTGAACGGTTTTTTATTTTCAAATTATGATACAGTATTATGTTAATATTAACTTGAGTTTCTGGTCATTTATGTTGTTAATTAAGTTTTTCATAACCCTAACCATCAGATCATAATTAATATTTTAATTTAATTTTAATTAAACAAAATAACAAAAGCAATATCTACAGTAAATTTCTTGTAGAGTTCTCAAGCCAATGGCTTATAGACTAAATTTGATCCACAGACATGATATGTTTAATTATAAGGTATTTTGAAAATAATTAACTTGTATAAAAATAGAACATTTGGGCCAACAGGTGGCATAGTGGTTCGGGTGCTAGATCCCACAGGTCTGACTGCATGGTTTGGGTCCTGGACCTGGTGGCTTGAAAAACATGCTGTGGGGACCAGCAGTTAGCGTAATAGCTATGTTACTGGACTTCCATGTGGTCGACCACGGTTCAAGTCCCAGACCCAGTGGCTTAAAACTCACGCCGGTGCACGGGTGTGCGTGCCCAAGATCCCAAGAGGAGAATGGAGAAGGGATTGCGGCATGGCCATCCTCCCTGGGGGGTGATTTCTCATTTCTATCTCTCTGTCTCTCTCTTTATATCTGGTGAGCGCACATGCCCTATAGCCAAAACCTCTCAAAAAGGAAAAAAAAAAAAAACAACAGGTGTGTATGTGTGCATACCCAAAATTCCCAGAGGAGGATTGAGAAGAAGGGACTGTGGCAATGGCCAGCCTCCTAGGGAATGATTTCTCACTTTCCTCTCTCTTTCTCTGGCTAGGGCATATGTTTCATAGCAAAATAAAACCAAAATCACTAAGACAAAAATGGAAGATTTCATGTTAAACTCTGGGTGTCAAGTTTCTATTTAAACATATATCTATATCTAGATATATAGATATAGATAATGTGAATATACACACACACGCACACACACACACACATATGTCTTCAACACTGTACCTATATTAATGTCTGATCAAAGTCAAATGATATAAATTAGGGACACCTCCTTTGGATTGGCATATTGTTTCCAGTTTACCACAAACTTTACTGATACCCACTGCATTCGAAACAATGAAACTGAGTACTAGCTGCCATTTTCATGGTATCATTCTATTATTTTTGCGAGAGCAAAAACTGATATCCCCAGTTCATACATCTTTCTTTTTTCTTTTCTTTTTTTTTTTTTTTTTTGAGAGTTTTTTGCTATAGGGCACGTGCGCTTGCCAGACAGACAGAGACAGAGAGATAGAAAGCGAGAAATCACCCCCCAGGGGGGATGGCCACGCCGCAATCCCTTCTCCTCCATTCTCCTCTTGGGATCTTGGTTGTGTTTGTATGCACATGCGCCTGGCGTGAGTTTAAGCCACCGGGTCCGGGACATGAACCGCAGTCAACTACAGGGGAGTCCAGCGACAAAGCCATTACGCTAACTGCTGGTCCCCCATATATCTTTCTTTAAGAAGGAAGAGAAAAACTAGCCTGAAAGAACTACATAAGAACTACATATTGAAAGCAAAAATGTTAATGTATATTTTTCTTTATATGGCTGATAATTAAATACTTACTGATTGTCTGATCTGCCTGGCTTCTACAGGCACCAGAGTTTGGTACCTCTGAGTTTTAGGCCATAAGTAAATTGATTTTTTTTTTTAAGTAAAGACTTAAAATAAATAGTTTGTAATCAAGTAGTCCATATTTGTTCAATACCCAAACTTTGGGTGGGGCACTGAACCAGATGCTAGAAAAAGATACGTAATAAATACTGGATGTTAAGCGGTCACACCCTAAGTAAGTAGACAAAGATAGCCACATAAGAGAAGAGTAAAGGGAAATTTTATTAACTTATCAATTAGTGTAAGTAGATATATTATGAAAAAGTCTGAGTAGAAAAAAAGACTCATCTGTAAGAACATAAGTGCAGTATATTTATTCACTCAATGAATATTTATGAGACCTTTTTGTGGTAGGCACTGTTCCTAGTGCCAGTGATATGGAAGTAACCATAGTAGAAAACCATTAAACAAAGAAGATGCCATAAAAAAGGAAAATTCTGATAACTTAGCATTACTTTTAGATATCACTAGGAAAGTAGAGGACAAATTTGAAGATACTTCTTACTGGGGAAAAATAAACAGTAATATGGACAATAATAGAAAAGACTGCGTAAGAATTAGAAGACTAGTTAAGAATATCCAATATCTGAGTAAGAGATCATAATTACAGCAGAGAAGGCAGAGTAGGGTGTAATGGGGAAAATCATCACTGAAATAACCCAGGAAAATTTCTACACTGAAACAGTCCAGTGGATGAAAACAGTTTTATCTTAAAACACATTACTTGAGAATTTCAGAAAACCTGGAACAAAGAGAAGACCCTGTAAGTTTCAGGGATAATGGTAAGGGAATCAATCAGATACAAAAAAAGATCATTAATTGGAATGACTTTAGACTTCAATACCAGCATGAGAAGCTAAAGATCATGGGGGAAATGCCTTACAAATTGCTTGGGAAATTATTTCCAACCTGGAATTCCAGTGGTTAATCAAATAAAAGGCTAACGAAATATTCATACACACAAACAACAAAAACAAAATATCTCATGTGCCCTTTCTCAGGAAACTACTAGAAAATGAGTGCCACCAAAATGAGGAGTAAACAAGAAAAAGGAAGACACAGAAGACAGCAAACAGATCCAACATTAGAGAGAGGCAAAAGCAATCTCCATGATGGTAAAGGGACATCCTGAATGACAGCTGTGTGCCAAGCACAGAAGGCAACCAGTCCAGATTGAAACACATCAGAAATCTTGTGGAGGTTTCCTCCAGAAGATGAAATTGATAAAATACCTGATGTATGTGAAAATAGGTGATTTAGATAAATTTTTCAGAGAGTTTGTGTAAAATGTATATGAATATGAAAAAAATTGGGACTAGCAGTTAGTGTAATGGCTATGTCACTGGATTCCCATGTATTTGACTGCGGTTCGAGTCCCAGACCTGGTAGCTTAAACTCATGCCAGGCACGTGTGCATGCATGCCCAAGATCTCCAGAGGAGAATGGAGGAGAAGGGATTGTGGTGTGGCCATCCCCCCCCCCCCCGAGGAGTGATTTCTCGTTTTCTGTCTCTCTGTCTCTCTCTTTCTGGCGAGCACACGCACCCGATAGCAAAAACCTCTCCAAAAAAATATATGAAAAAATTAAGCAAAATAAAAAAAAATCACTTGCTCTAAATAAGACAAATATTATGAAGCAAAAGGAATCATGGCTAACCATACAGCTCAGCTCTGAACAGCATTTATAGCCAAAATAATATAAGCATAGGTTATTCTAATGAAATCAACCTTCTAATTATATTGGGACTATCGGAGGAAAGCCAAGTGTTTTTGAGATAAAAGGAAGAAAGAAACCTGAGTCCCATTTTTCTTTGTAGAAAATAAATAGATGTGCCTAAATCTGGAAAATCATGAGGTAGCAACATAAGCATGAGTTGTATATGGCTGTCTCTGAGGAGGAAGGAATGAGAAAAAAAGGGAGAATTGTTATTTATTTATTTTTTTCATAACAAAAGCTGTAGGGTTATTTGCTTCATATTATACATGCAAATAACAAAGATAAAAATAAAAACCTACTTAACTATTCCTGATAAACTATGCTCCTCCACTGTGCAAACCATGTGGTCTTGCTTTTGCCATGATTTGAGCAAATGCAGTATGGAGCGTAACCATTAGTCAACTGTATTTGTATCCCTCCTAAATTCTCTGATTATAATTCCACCTTCGGTGGCATTTTATAAGGAGAAAAACACAAGTAGACGAAGTAAAGGTGAGTAGGTTAGCATGTGGCATAAGTAGTTTGTTCTGAGAAAGAGTAAAGGGATGTTTAGGAGGATTTATGCAACAGGCAAATGATACATTCACAAGAAGGTAATCTTGGATTACAGATAAGGCCTGGAAGTGAGTTTGTATGTTTTCTCTGGCAGCACAGACTCTTAGCTAATTTTGTCACGGTCACTGTAAAAACTAAACTAAATATTATTGCATCTATGTTGTCCCATCTGTCTTGTCTGATGTAACTGGCACACAGAAGGAAATTTTCATAGGGAGGAAAAGCAGAGTCAACACATCAAACACATTCCTTTTCTTCACACCTAAAAAGTCAATTCTTAGAAATAGTGAGAATATTAGTGGCTGCCAATCATTAGAGGGACGGGAAAAATGAGTACGTGACGCACAGAACGTTTTTAGGGCATGAGATTATTCTGCATTAACCTTCTGAAACTAACAACAGAAAATACTTGAAACTGGGAATAGGGGTTATTCAGTTCAAGTTTGGTCCAAAGTCCACAGTTTGACGTGGTGAGGATCTTATTGCTGATAGGTCACGTGGCCAGACCAAAGGCAGATCAGCAGTGCCATGTGTCTGTGTCCATGTGTGCATGTGTCTTATTCCTTTTTGTAACCCCACCAGGCTTCAATCATGGGAACCCTGCCCTGATTATCTTAATCTCATCTCTTCCCAGGTGTCTCATCTTTCAATACCACAGTTGAATTTTTTTTAAGAGAGATTTTTGCTGTAGGGTTCACATGCTCACCAGAGAGACAGAAAGCAAGAAAACACCCCCCACCCTGGGGGAAGGTCATGCCACAATCCCTTCTCCTCCATTCTCCTCTAGGAATTTTGGGCGCACATGTACACATGCCCAGTTTGAGTTTCAAGCCGCCGGGTCTAGGAGTTGAACTGTGGTCGACCATGTGGGAGTCTGGCAATGGAACCATTATGTCATCTGCTGGTCCCTTGAATTTAGTTTTCATGCTCTAATCTCATCACAACCAAATCTCAATACATTAATTTTGGGGGGATATATTCAAACCACAGTATGTATACTAAATGATGAATAGTACATGTTGTTATATATTTGATCAAACCTATAGAATACACAACACCAAGAGTGAGCCCTTATGTAAACTACGGGCTTTGGGTGATAATGATATGTCCATGTAGGTTCATCTGGGGACCAGCAGATGGGATAATGGTTATGTCACTGGACTTCCACATGGCCGACAGCAGTTTGAGCCCTGGAACTGGAGGCTTCAAACTCATGCAGGACTCATGTGCCCATATGCCCAAAATCCTGAGGAGACTGGAGAAGGGACTGCAGCATGGACATCTA